ATATATTATATATATATATATATATATATATATATAATTTCTTTTTAGTATCAATTTGTAACAATTAAATTGTATACCTAATTTCTAATAAGCGTAAGCGCGCTGAGATATTTTATAAACATAAATTAATTATCAAATTGCTTATATAAAATATTTATAAGTTATTGTATATATGCAATATTATTAATAGTAATATTGAAAACGTTTGTTTTGTTTTGTTTTTTTTTTAAATACAATGAAAATGAAAATACATTGCATTTAAGTCAATTGGAATTTTAAACATGGAAGCAATGTGTTTTTCAAAATATCATTTGAAATAATGAATAATCATTGAAATTAAGAAGACATTTGTTGAGATGTCTTAATCATTTCCATGGACGGTGAATTAAGATAATGACGACTCAAATTAATTACCACCATGATGCAACAGAGAAGTAATGGTCCAAAAATAGCACCTTCAACGCCAAGACAAAATATTCCACCGGCTATGGACAAACCGGTAAGATATGGATGACCACCGCTAAAATAACAATAAATTCAAATTCATATATCAACATTGTTTTCTTTTCTTTTCTTTTCTTTTTATTATAAAAAAAATTAATATATCAAAATAATACCCTTTTATTTCTTTATAAAATTCCGTTACCACGATATTACATGGTAAGAAATGGAACATAAAGAAAGGGATAGCTATCGTAGGCCCACGTGTAAACCAAAGTTCTAAAGTTGCTGGAATACAAGCAATGTATGCATCCAAAAATGGTACTGCACCTAAGACCGTAGCAAATGCCGATGGTAAATATATTATTTTAACTTGAAACAAATTGTGCACGAACCATGTCCACATTCCAAAAAATGTGGCAAGTTTGAACGTAGCTGCAAATACACCGATAACAGCTTTTTGAAGTGCTACGGCAAATCTGTTAAAAAATATATATATATATATATAAATCATATTAATATTTATTAAGAAAATAAATTATAATAATTAAATGAATAATATTAACCTGTCGCAATTAATAGGACTAAATAACGTGGTTAATTCGATGGGTTTATACGTTTTACCACTGGAGTTTAATAGATAAAACAATGTGGTAAAAAAAACAATCTGTAACAATTTATAAAAAAAAAAAAAAATGAAATATAATATTTTAATAGAAAGAAATTCATTTTTTTTTTTTTTTTTTTTATTTAGAAAAATATTATCCACATACCATGCTGAGTATAAAATTTAATACTGCAGTTCCACTCGTAAGAATAATATAAAATAATTCAGTAAAAACAGTAAGTATCACAGACATGTTACCCTTAACTATATTCCAAACAGAATCTAATAAAGACATAAGAATTCCAACATTTTCTTTAGCAAAGTTTTGTATTCCGGTTACATCGAACATATCTAAAAACAATTAATAATAAAATGAAGTATTTTAAAATGATATATACATTAAAGTGTATGTAAACTACATACGAAAAGGAAAAGATCCATAATTATCTCTGAAATTTTCCCATACGGAATAAACCGCAGCTGAGTCAACCGTCGGTCCAATTAAATCTGGTTTCTCGTTGGACATCATCCATGCTTGATAAAATCTATCCCAAAGTTCTAAAACTTTAGTCTCCATTTGTTCAGTCTTAGCAGAATCTAAATCTTTAACAAGTTTCCTTATCTGATGCATAAATTAAATACACTAATGAAAATCTATTCCGATGATTCCATATGTATATGTATATAGATGTATACACATATGAATATTTTACCCCATCAGAAATAGCACTTCTTCCATAAGTATATGCATTATCCAATACGCTATTAACAGATTCTTCCCATTCTTGAGGTACCCAATCTATATCTGGATTATTTATTAATGAAGAATTAACAATTTCAGCTGTTACTTGAATTAAATGCATACCCTCTGCATATACCTGTTATGATTATAATAATAACAATAATAATAATAATAAATGTATTAATATATTTTCAGGAACTAACTAAATTAACTGTATATATAATGAATGAATTATTTATACCTGTATTGTTATAAATATTGATGTGCAAATGGTGAATACTAATAATCCAACTATAACAGCAGTTGTTGCTACTGCATCGATAGATCCTACCAATGCTTTTTGTAACTTTTCGTCAACAATTATAGCAACTTTATACAATCCTCTAACATTGGCTGGTAAAAGTGCTTGATTTCTTTCTTTAGACCAATCTTTAATAATTCCTACAACGTACTTACATTGTTTGCATATTAATTTCCATAAACCGAAATAACTGCCAAGTTTTTTAGCAAAATAATATGCTATAGGAATGATTAATAATTGTATTATCCATTTGTGCTTCCATAATATCATTCCGATGCATGCGTAAAGTGCACCATACATATATTTATCCGTGTCGACTTTGTCTTCCTCGATATCTAAAGACATTCGTAATTCTGTTTTTAATTTTCTTAAAAAGAAACGCTCTTGTGCAGTATGACTGGTATTAGAAGTTATATTAGACATAGATTTAGTTTTCTCTTGTTCGATCTTTGAATAAAGCACACCTCCTGCATCCGAATCTAACGACATTGATTTATTCATTATTTTGTCCGACATTGTAGGTATACTTCTTTCCATAATAGTTTTGTTAACATCTTCTTTGGTATCATCAATCCTTTTTTTATCAATAATCGTACCCTCTTCCCATTTTGGATATGTACTATTAGTCATTACAAAACAAATAGCTTCTGTAAGTTTTATTTGATGACCTTCTATTTCTTGAGCTTCCATAATTAATAATACTTCATATATAAATCCGATCAAATACAAAACTTGCAATGTGATGAATATCAATATTTGATATGCACCGAGTATATTTGAAATATACAAACTTATCATGAACCATAAGACGAATGATGTATAACGAAAATGTTTCGAATTCTCGTGTGACCAATAAATGTATAATACGGATAAATAACCAATTAATAGAATAGTAATCTGTAAATAATAATAATATGACATTAATTAGGAAACAAAATTCTTATGAGCATGATGATGATGATAATGATATCTTTAAGACTAATTCTTACCATATAAATATTACAAGTTGATATGAAAAAGCCAAAGATAATGCTAAAAGCGTTAAATATCTGCCATATTAGGCAAGACAATATATTAGGCGTATAACTATAAATTGCCATAGTTATACACGCCATTGAAATAATACCAACAATATATTTTATGTAATCCCATAATGCAGTACCCAACGTTTCTGCTGTATTATCTATTATATGAAGGGGTAATATTATAATGTTCAAAAACAAAGGTTTGTTAGTTGATTCTGTCTTATCGAACCATGATTTTCCTCTTGTCGTTAAAGAATATTTAAATGGAAATAGTACAGCACCGCATAACAAGGCCCAAATGAGTGGTTTTAAAAATGGGCTTAATACAATGTATAATCCATATCCTGCGGCAAGCACCAAGGACAATAAAAAAAGTGCTACCGCATTATAAATACCCTGTTTTAAAGCTTTCTCGTGGCTCGCATTAAATCCGGATAACATGTTGAACAGATTGTCCATCGGTGATTTAGTGACATCCATTATTTAACTTTGAATCTTCTATTTCTTTCTTGAATTAACGTTTGACATTTATTTTGAGGTTAGAATTAGATCACAATGAGTCATAGATATATAAAGGACATACTTCTTTGAGTTCACTCTGCAATATAATCATTACTGTATAAGAAACATGTATATATATATATATATATATATATATATATATATGTATATGTATATATCAACTTATGTACTTGTTATGTATAAGTTCTTTCACACATGTATATAAAAATAATTTCTATTTATAAACATTGATTAGGCAATAACATTAAATATAAAGTATGTAAGTGTACATTTATAGATTAATCGCGCATGCGTATTTTATTTAAATTTAAGAATAGTTCTTTTTTTGTTTTTTTTTTGTTTTACCAATCACTGTAAATTATATATAATGTTTGTAGTATGGTTGTTATGGAAACCGAGTTATTGTTTACAGTACATTTAAAATAAGGCTTATTTTTTCATTAAAGCTTATTTTACTTTTGTTTCTTTTTCGTTATTATGCAATTTGAATTATATTGCATGTATTATCTTGTACATTTGATTGAATAATATTTGAAATATGTGACAATGTCTACTAATTTACAAGATATCAAAAGTAATTATTTATGTCAATGTACTGTTTCCATCACAGACGAAATTTTACCAAAACAAATATCTGAAACTAAAGATAATTTCAACATACATGAAATAGATGAAGATGATGATGATGATGATAATTGTGAAAATGATATTGTTCATTCTGATAATTTAAATGACAACGATGAAGATCATGAAACTATAATAGATAAAGAAAAGAATTCACTCGATGATGAATACGCTTATACAAATGAATCATTTTATTCTGATGATTCTTGCAGTGAATCTGAGAAAACTCCATCGCAGTATTTAGTCAGTGGTTCTTGTTCACTTTACATTGATGATAATAAATGTGAGGATGATGGTAAATTGGAAAATTTAAATAACAAAAAGGATGAAGAAGAAGAAGAAGAAGAAGAAGAAGAAGAAGAGATTGATTACAACGAAGACATTGAAGGAAGTATTAACATAGAAAGAATTGAAAGAATACGACATAATAGCGAAAAGAATTTAGAATTTGTAAGACGAACTACTACTAGAAGAAAGAACATGAGTTTTACAGATGACGAGGTACGAAAAATTGAACGTGAGAATGAACTTTTGTTGAGAAAAATTATGGCACAGCATAAACCTCGTGATAAAGTTCTTAAAAAAGGTACTTTACCTAAAATGAGTAGTTCTGCTATTAATAGAAAAAAACTGCAAAAGAAGATCGAAGGAGATAACATGGTATATATTATTATATCTATGCATCAGAATATATCATCTAAATAATAATTATATTAATGCCATAGAGATATTACAGATAGAGTAGAACAAATCATAGGCGGTTGTGTAAGTGGAAATGTCTCTGCATGAATGTAGCAAAAAACGAAAGGTTGATGTTGTCTCTCTCTAACTCTTGCAGTACCGGCGCATGCGCATTAGACTTGTCGTGCTTATCGTACACGTATGTATACGATACCAGCTATCTTAACCTCTACTAGCAGACTAATGCGCATGCGCCGTTCAGCGCAAGTTAGAGAGAGACAACATCAACCTCCCATGTTCTATCTCTTTTTATTTCGCCGACAGGTTTTATGCTGACTTGTCTGCTTTATGTGTAGTATCTCTATGATTAATGCTATGCTATATAATATAATGCTATATAATAAATGCTAATATTAGCATATATATGTTAGCATTTTGTAAATATTTTATTAACAATATTTACAGGTGCTTCTTCGTAGAATACAACAAGCGAAACCATGTGTGATATCAAAATCGACTACACCGGGTTATAGAATGACTTTTATATGACTATGAAATTAATTAGCATAACAATGATTTATAATTGGTATATATATATATATATATATTTATATTAAGATTTTATTGGGTAAATCTCTCTCTCTCTCTATATATATATATATATTTCTAAAAATGTATAAAATGTTTTTTATATTTCATCTTAATATGGCTGAATATTCAATTTTCTTCTATATATATATGTCTCTAAGAAGATTGATAATTATTATATTATAATACTCTTTATAAGAGATTTTGAAATGAAAACAATAATTACCAGTCTTGAAGAGTAGGTACATATGTTTTTATTTTTCTTTTGTATACATCACAACTTTGTAAAATGTCTTGAAAACTTTGACTACAGAAATTTCTACAAGAAGAGTCAAGACTATAAAAATCACAGTTCTCTCTCACTTTTTTCTTTTTTTTTTTTTTTAATTAACTTAATTATCATTTCATATTTTTCTTTCTTTCTTTCTTTCTTTCTCTTTTCTTTCTTTTCTTTTTTTTTTTCTCTGTAATAACAAAATAACAATATTCTCAGATATTATTGAGTACCGTGAACAATAATTTCTCACTTTTACAATAAATATACAATAAAAAAAAAAAAATGAAAACGAAAAACAATGCAATTGAGAATCAAATTACTAAGGAGATTTAAATATAATTAATTTTTCAATTGTTTCAATAATATAATAAATGTATCACGTACTATTAATCATAATCAAATTAATAAAAATTAATTTATATATATATATATATATGTATATATTTTCAATACAATGTAATTAATATCAGCTTTGTCAAATCAAATTTGAAAATACGCATTTGAAAATAGAAACAAAATTTCATAATATCATATAAAAAGAGAATCTCTTTTTTTTTTTTCTTTAATTATTTTATTGCCTTCAGTAAATTTCTTTAATTCGAGTCAAAATTAAATCGAATGTGTCGCGCAGCGAACTTGATTAAGTCGATTGATCTCAATTGCAATTAATTTTTTTTTTT